AAATGAAATACCCTATATATTATTGCATTTTTGGATTCTCTGAGCAAAATAAGTGTTTGTTTTAATAAGATTTATAATGTCTAAATCTAAAGGTTTCTTAAATAATTAGAATTTTATCAAAATCTAATATTATTTTCATGTGTGAAATACTTTAGAATTATTTAAGTTATGTAAACGTAATTTGTAGTGTAGTGTAACAAGAAATCATATTTTATATCCCAATGATAATAAACTTACCATTTTATACAGGGTGTCCACAAATTTAAACTAATCAAATAAGAACTTTAAGTGGCTATAACTTGATTAATTTAAATACAACCCCATATTTTTTAGCTTACCAGGAAATGCAATTTTTAATTACCTAACGAATGGTTCTAGGATGTTGATAACTAACTTTTTGCCTTTTTACAAAATATACTAAATAATGGTTCTCTGCACCATTTGGTGTTTTTTTTAAATTAAAAGGTTAAATAACATATCAACAATAACATAAACCAAAGGCAAATTATTTCTAACAAATGTTCGAAATGTTGACCGTCCATTTCCAGGCACGTGTAAATTCTTTTTTCAAAACCACTGCTAACTCTGGACAACATTTGCGGAGTTACAGTTTTACAAGCGTCTCTTATGCGTGTTTTCATATCGTGTGAAGTTGGCGGAAGCATATGGTAGACAATTCCTTTTATGCACCCCCACAAAAAGGAATCTAGTGGAGTTAAGCCAGGAGATCTGGGGGGCCAATTTTGAAACCAACTTCTGCCAATCCACCTGTTTTGAAAGTTGGCATTTAAAAATTGCCGAACTTCGCAGTGATAATGAGGCGGAGCTCTATCCAATTGAAGCCACATGTTGATTCTAATATTGAAAGGGACTTCTTCTAATAATATTGAGGAATGGTTTATTAGAAACTGGAGAAACATCAAACCATTTAGATGTCCTTCAAAAACATAGGGTCCAATTAACTATTGGCCCAGTATTCCACCCCACACATTAACTGACCACCTATTTTGATTTTTCATGACCCTGTATGCGCGAGGATTCGTATCAGAATAATAATGAAAGTTGTG